TCTACTGTAATCATTACAATTCTGGCCTGTCTCTGGAAGCTGCAAGGCAGGCCAGGAGAGCAATTTATCATGCAGGCTCAGAGGCCTGGGGACCACTTCATCACCTTGTGCACAACCCCAGGAAGGGACGCAGCAGCCCTGAGAAGCTGCTCCTTGAACATGGAGGCCAGTGGGGCCCATGCTTCGGGCTCAAAGCTGGAAGGAAGGTGGGTCTGAGTGGCAGCCTGACCCCCTCAAACCTGCCTTGGCCATTGGCTGGCTTTCCCTTGGACAAATACGGCTCTTTGGAGCCTCAGTTTTCCTTGTCTGCAAAAGAGCGGCAGGTACCGGTAGTAGCAGGACGTTAGTCCAGATTATTATCAATGGAAAAATTGATACAGACCTGTGAAGGGCTAGTTTGTGTCCAGGAGTGGAACAGGACCACATGGTGGGAACATCTCCAGGAATGTGTCTTGATTCCCTGCCCAGCCAGAAGTCTCTTGTGCAGCCCAAGGCTTCACTGAGGTAACAGGACATACTGTCTCACACAGTCCCGAGGACACTGAAGGGCAGGGGAAGTGTGGGACACAGAGAAATCTGGCAGATAGCTAAAGTCTGAGTGAGTTGCATGACCTTGAAAACGTCACTTTGCGGACTCTCCAGTTCTCGGTGTTTTATAGTAAAATGGTGACAGGAGATTTATCAGGGATCAAATGTGTGTTGGGTCAGTTCCGAGGAAGCTAGTGATCAGGGCTCATTGAAGATTAGCTGTAAATAAAGTATTCCTTAAATGCTTGTTTACTCAGAGCATCAAACAGGTGATGGGCTCACACAGCACAAAGGTGTTAACATGTGGGTTAGATAGATTGCCAATCAGTGAAGCAATAAAGCTGCCTGAAGCGGGTGTGCATGCGTGCGTGCGTAAGCCCAGCCCAAGTGATTAAGGGGCCCAAGTGCCCACCTGGCCTAAGTGTGTAATCTGCTCAAGCTGAGAATGGTCACTCTTCAAGCATGGCACTAGGAAATGGTCATGAGTACATGAAATGAGCTTTCGAAACCCAGAGGAAGCTTAGACCTTCGTCCCCATGCCGGGGATGCACTTGAGGCTCACCTGCTCCTGCAGCCACCAGTGCAGAAGGCATGCCTCAAGTAAAGCTGCATCTTTCCTTGTGCAGAAGCTTCTTCCTGGCGGTTCAGGGCTCAGATTTTGAAAAATAAACTTTTCAATTACAAAATGCTATCTTCCCATTATTAATAATTTGAGAGAAGAAAACAGTCTATGATACAGAATATTGGTATTTTTACAACCTTTTTTTCTACATGGAAAAATTGAAAAATAATCAGAAATATGCTCCAAATGCAGTTTGAGGCTCAAAACTTTCCAGCTACCAGTCTGTCCCAGCGTCTCTCTCTCCGGGACTTCCGATGCTCTCTGTTTTCACGGCCGTACTAGCCTCCGTTACTAGCTGCTCAGACGGTCCAACCACTTGAATATCCTTGAACCTGTAGGGACCTGATGGATTTTGAAACAAGTGCTGGAGAGTTGGCCCTGTGGCTCCTAGCACCCACATTGGGAGGTTGTAAGTGCCTGTAACTCTAACCCGGGGAGTCTGACTCCCTTTTCCGGACTCTGTGGGTGCTGCCCTCACATGTACCCCTCTTACATTCATATTTTAAAAATAAAAGTAAAGTCTTTATATATAAAAATTCCCCCAACAATGGAATGTACCCTGTGTATCTGCATGTTGGGATTTCTTTGTTGTTAAAAAGTTCTCAGACATAGGGGAGAAGGGTTGACTAGTTGACCGCAGGACTCCTCACGGCCAATGAGTCAATTTTAAGGCCCCAGATGGAGTGTGTTAGGGCACAGCGGGTGTGACAGGTGCCCCACCATGTGGTGTTTTGCGACTAATTAGTCAACCCTGTGTCATTGGTGTCATCCGAAGAGTCACATCAATTTCAAGCTTCACTAAAGTTCAACTGGAAAAGATGATAATTCAACATTTTAGCAAATAGAAAATGTTCCAGATTGAGCTAGACTTTTTTGACATATTTTATAGGCATTAGAAAATGAGTTAATGTTTTTCTTTTATTGACGTGTGATGAGATCTCAAGGCTGTCTGTAAAGTCTCTGGGGTCTCTGTCAGTCCAGTGCACAGCCCTAGCTCCCCACAGGCTGCCACTGGCCCCGCAGGCCGCTGCAGTCCAAACCTCTGAGCAGGTGGGAACCGCCTTTTAATGGAAAAGCTGTGACTTTCGGGAGAAATGGAAGATGCTTAAAGGAGAGGAGACAGCGTCTGGCCTCTGTCCCTTTACCTCTTCCCCCCAAAATGATGGAAATAGGCACAGATTCTGACGTTAGCTAGTTTTTTGCCAAGAAGATGAATTAGAGGCAGGAAGGGTGCCACTGATCACAGGCCTTCCTGGGGTAGGCGTGATGCTGGCCACATGCTCTGGACCACTTTGACAAGGACCTTATGGTCACTTCTGGCTGGAGAGCATGATACGCTGTCCCAGCTCCTTCCTGTAGGGAAATTCATCATGTCCCACAACAACCCGAGTGTCCCGGTGCCTCCAGCTTTGTCTTCAGCCCCAGCTGGGTCTGGGATCAGCATCAAGGAGGGTTTCACAGCTCGAACCTTCTGGAAGGTCAGAATTGGCTCTGTTTCTCCTGGTGCTCACGCTGCATCAGCAGAGCACCAGGACTCCCCGAGACACCCCTATACCCACGGGCTCAAGACATAGGTCCAGGCTGCTCTTCTCTCTGAAGTACCCAGGAGATGCTAAGTAGGCCAGCACTGGGGACAGCATCCAGACCTCTGCTTTGTGCGGTTAGCGCTCTGAACCTCTAAGCTACACCCCCAGCTTGGCCACGTTTCTCTACAGTGGGGACATATAGTTCAACTAAGTGAGAGTTTACGCAAGAAGACAGTCTGAAAACTTCCCGTGGGCGGGGCCCTCTCTGTGTGCCCCCAGCATGGACCACGCTCTGGGGTGTCTAGCAGGTACTCAGCAAGCAAGAACTGGTTGAAACTGTTGTGAAAACACAAATGAATAAGAACTTGGGATGCTGAGGCAGGAAGATGAAAGTTTACATACCTGAACCTTGTCTTAGATAACAAAACAGGCTCTCAGGGATGGCTTTACAGGCAAAAGCAGTTGCCACACAATCTTGATGACCTGGGTTCAATTCCTGGGCTTTCCATGAAAGTGAAAGGAGAGAACAGACTTCCAAAAGTTGTCCTCTGGCTTCCACGTGAGTGCTCTCGCGCATGCACATGGCTGCTTGCCGCATGTGCACCCTGCAACAGGCAGTACAAACACACAAAAACCAAGTATGAATGAATGAACCAGTGAGCTATTTCACTAGTTCTTCCTTATAGCTCTGGGGCTAATTAGTACCTGACATTAAATGGGCCTCAATGATTATATCAAGGAAATGGGAGATGAGATTGATGGACACACCAGAGAGAGCAGCTCCCATCCTATGTCTGTGCACAGGGGGTGGCTGAGAGCATCCACATGGGCATCTGTTGGTCCTGGTCCTCTTAACTACTGTGGCCATATTGAACCACAGAACCTTGCTCTGCAGGTCCAAACACTTTCCACCTCTGCCAGTGATTTCTCCCTCCCCTAATCTCAGCTCTGCTATAAGTATCACCAGGCAATTAACCTTATGTTGCTGTTGAGATGCTTCTATTGTTATCTTAAAAATCTTAGCTGAAACATAGTATGTGTATATTTCTATGGGAGTTTTGTTACAGACTTTGAAACATGCATGTATGTGGTGACTGGATCATCCCCTCAAACCTTGTGCAGTTCTGTGTGGTAAGAATGTTTGGCCTTCTCTAGTTATTTGCAATGTACCACAGGTAGTTATAACCATAGTTACTCTATATAGAATAGTAGAGTTTGTCTCTCTTACCTAATTACATTTTGGTCTCTTGTGTTAATCGGCCATTTAGATCTGTGTCAGGGAGTTTTCACGAGCATCCCTACTTCCTGGCAGAGTCAGCACAGGGCAATGGCCTGGGGGTCGGAGGCTCTGGCTTTGAACTCCAGCTTAAGCCATTTATGCCTCTGGTCACGTAGTTGCTATAAAGCTGGAGTATGCAGAAATTGTACATTATTACCATTGTTTCTTTGGTCTCCCCAGCTCTCAGGACCATAGAGTGGTGCTTGTTGCTCATGGCTATGTGGAGGTAGCTCTTCTTCCAGACTTGACTACTCAGGAATAGTCTCAGCTATATGCTCTGACTGCCAGGAGCAAAACTAGTGGCAGCCAACACTTACCAAGCCAGGCTGGTGTGGGCACCTTGATGGTCACGCATCTCTGAGTAGCTGGGGCAGGCTCTGGACCCACCAGACAGCCCGAGAGCTAATGCACAGACTACAGACTCTCAGAGCCACCTTGGCAGAAGCTGCAGGGAGTGTCCTCTGTCCTGACCAGCAGGCCACCAAAACCTTCCCCTGCCCAGGACCCCTTTCTGTTCCTTTGCTGGCCCCTCAGCCACCCGGTCGTTCTTCTGCTGCCCTTGTCCTTCCTCTCCTGCCCTTGGCTGAAGTCAGGGGACAGAGAAGCTACTAGGGCATTCTGATTCATTCCTAACAGAGCTCTCCATGACTAGGGATGTGAATCTTCTGGTTTATGTTAAGATAGAAACATGAGCTGACATGGTATAGATACCCAAACCGTATAACAATGGCAAAAAAGGAATTACATTCATAAGACTTATGAGCATGGAGTCAAATAATGCAACTCACCAGTAACCATAATCTAGCCAGGCATCACAGACATGAAACACTGTGCCTACTGGGGTTGTTCTTGGAGTGCAAGAATGTTTTTTTTTTATCAAAAGCAAAGGCTCAGAAGGGGCAGCCCAGGCTCAGGCTAACTTCCTGCTCTACCCTGCTCCCAGGAGGGACTAAGGATTCTCCTTCCTCGGCCCCGCTGTTTGCTGTTACACCCCATGACCTACTTCTTGCCTGGACCCCTAACTCTCTTTCCCTCTCTCCTGCAGGATTCCATGTTTTCGTTGGCCCTGAAATGCCTTATCAGTTTATCCACCATCATCCTGCTTGGTTTGATCATCGCCTATCACACAAGGGAAGTCCAGGTATGTCCCTCCGCTTGAAGTAGTAGCCCATCCTCCCACCTGGATCTGGGCTGAGCCCATCTACCTCCAGCCCAGCTGGAGGGATTTTACAAAATAGTGTCCAAGATCTTGGCTCTTCTCTTTCTCTTTGGATCCTCAAGGAGGGCATCTTGATGCTATCTTGTGACCTTAGAACAATGGAAACATTATTTCCTCTCACGTGGCCTCATGGGCGAGTATGTGGCTTTGTGATTGGGAGCTGTGCTCTACACACACACACACACACACACACACACACACACACACACACACCAGCAAGGAGCCTGCATTTCTGAATGTGGGGATTCTACCTCTAAAGACACCAGGCAATAGAATGGATGTGTGGTGTGGTTGAGGATGCCTCTGGTTTCTGGCTGCCTGGGATGACTCAATACTCTGGGAAATATTTCCTGGACATCTGGGTATTCTTCCAGCTTGGCTGATGTAGGACGGATAGTTGAACATGGACTGTGAGGGTAATGCTGGAGTGAGTGAACCTGGGCATCCTCTCATGACAGTGAGTTGTCATCCCCTGCCCCCCCCCCTTCCTTGCAGGCTGATCTGCTCACTGCTGACCCAGGTTGTCCAAATTATACAGATGTTTCTGATCATGTGTGTGTGTGAATCTGGGCACTGCCCCAGTTCTCTGGTCAGACGGATACAGACAGAATCACATCTGGGCACCAGGAAGAGACTGATGAGAACCAGAATTCAAGAGTCAGAAAGATGGGGTTGAGGCTTGGCCATGACCTCTTCTTGCAGCATGTTTTTGGCTAGCCCTGTGACCTTTCACCTGGATCAAGGAGGCTTTTTTCCAGCTTTCCTGGGCTACCGTGAGGATGGAAGAAGAAAGTGGGGTATATGTATAAATGACAGTCAGCAAATGCTGGCAAACGCGGGTCCTTCTGTTTCTCACTGTCCTGACGCAGATGCACCATGGGGAGCCTCCTGGTCCCTAAGTGAGGTCCAGCCTTTGGCTAATTGCTGGAGTTGCTGTGGCTGACGGGATGTAGTTATTTTAACTCTAGGCCTCCTGGGCAGGACTCTCAGTGCCACTGCCATGAGGACACCCCTTAGGAAGGCTGCACTCTAGCTTTTACAGTCTTGTGTGCTTAGACTGGGCTATGCTTTGAGGGCTGAGTATAGGGCTCACTAGGCAACATTCTTCTGAGTCAAACTGTGTGAAGCAGCTGCACTCAAACCCACACTGCTGTCTCGCAGATCTCAGAAAGTAGCCACTAGCATAACTGAAGCAGACCAAGGGGCCATGGCAGGAGAGGGGTCTCCAGTGCCGGCTTCAGCCCAGGCTCCACCATTCCTGGGGTTCTGAGGCTCTTCAACCTCTGGGGTCCTCATGTTCTAATCTACAGGGAGGCTGCATTGTTAGGCATCACCTGGGCCTACGTGGGGATCTGTCACAGAAGCGACTTTGAAAAAGAAGAATCAAAACTCAGTTGGACCCAGGTTGGAAGGAAGGACAGACAGCGGTTCCCAGCACGCAGTGGTTCTCCCTGTTGGACTC